TCCACCCCCTCCCATCCCTCTCTCATCCCATGCGCGGGGCAGGTGGCAGGGTACAATCCAGCGAGCTACACCCCGGGCAACAGGGAGCAGCCGCGCAGCAACGAGCTGGCGGACTGCCGGCTGGACAGGGAGAGCATCCGCAAGGCGTGTGCCGCCAGCCTCCGGCGCCTGCAGACGGACTACATCGACCTCTACCAGATCCACTGGTGCGCGTCGAGTCAAATAAGACATCAGGGTTAGCTGACTCAAAGGTTTCCTCCGTCAGGAGTCGATTTGAAAGCCTCAGGCGCCTGAAGACGGACTACATCGACCTCTACCAGATCCACTGGTGCGTCTTGAATCACGTCAAGAGTCGGTATCAAAAGTCACCTCGGTCAGGAGTCGGCTCAGAAACCTCAGGCGCTTGCAGGCGGACGGAATGCATCGACCTCTGCGAGAAACAATGGTGCGACTTCGTTCACCTCAAGTGTCATAATAAGGGTCAACGCAAGGGTTGACTCAAAGGCAATCCCAGTGAGGAGTGGATTCTAAGAGCCTCAGGCGCCTGCAGCCAGACTATATTGACCTCTTCCAGATCTACTGGTGCGCCCCTTGAGTCACCTCAAGGAGTCAAATCAAGAGTTAAATCAAGAGTCATGCCAAGGGCCGGCTCAAGAGTTGACTCAATGGTGACCTCGGTCAGGAGTGGACTTGAGGGCCTCGGGCGAATGCAGACTGACTACATCGACCTCCACCAATGTCTCTGGTGCACGCTCGCTTTTTCTCGTGCTGCTCCTGCTGCTGCCTTCACTTTCGCCTCTTCCTGCATAATAGTGCACCCTTCTTCCTTGTCTCATCCCCTTCTACCCCTTTTCCCCCCTCCATCCCCCGTCCCCCCTCTTCCCTTCCCACCACCTCCTCTCCTCCCACCCAACCAGGCCGGACCGCTATGTGCCCAAGTTTGGAGTGACACAGTACAAACCGGAGAAGGAGTATCCGTCCATCCCCATAGAGGAGACCGTTGCAGCCATGGGGGAGCTTATCAAGGGTGAGAGCGAGTCACACGCCACTTTGATCAGTGACTGACCACTCTGTTAGGGGCCGTTGGTTGGGCAGTTCGATCACCGAGGGGGGGGGGGGGCGATGGGCTGTGGGGCGTATGAAGGGTGCTGGGGAGATGGGTGAACGCAAGGGGTTATGATGGTCAGGTCAGGGCAGTTTAGAGTGATGGGCTGACCTGCAGCGGAAAGTGGCAGGTGCGCAGTTACTAAGCTTACATCATGCTTGAGACTCGCACTTGCGTCGTTCCCTTCTCCTCCCCTTCCCCTTCCCCCGCACCCACTTCTGCTGTCCCATGCGCCCTTCCACTCTCCATGTGTGGGACACGCACAATATATTGTCACACACAGAGGACTGGGCAACAATAGCACCTTGTAGAAGCGGTTCTTGAGGTGCCTCAACTCTTAGTTCGCCCCTCGCTCCCGTCCGCCCACCACACACACACGTCCCTCCCATGTTGCCCACGCAGAGGGCAAAATCCGGCACTACGGGCTGAGCAATGAGTCCACGGTTTGAAAGCGTGCCTTGGAGCACCTCAAAACTCAACTCGCCCCTCGCCCCTGATCCGTCCACCACGCACACACACACAAACATGCCCTCTCATGTCATTCACGCAGAGGGCAAGATCTGGCACTACGGCCTGAGCAACGAGACCACATTTTGAGAGTGTGCCTTGGAAGCACCCCGAACACTCAATTCGCCCCTCACACGTCTACCACACACACACGCCCCTCTCATTCTTCTATTCATGCAGAGGGCAAGATCCGGCACTACGGCCTCAGCAACGAGACCACGTTCGGCGTGTGCGAGTATGTGCACGCGGCGCGGCGCCTGGGGGTGCCTCCGCCCGTGTCGATCCAGAACAGCTTCTCCCTGGTGCACCGCTCCTTTGAGACGGAGCTGGCAGAGGCGTGCGCGCCCAGCCACTACAACATCGGGCTGCTGCCCTGGAGCCCCATGGGCGGCGGTGAGTGCATTCGAGGGCGAGTGTGCGTTAGTGAGCGTGCGTGCCTGTGCCTGTTGAGATGCCTCAGAACGTGGCTCAGTGCCCGCTGCTGCCCTGGAGCCCCATGGGCGGCGGTGAGTGCGTGTCAAAATGTCAGAGAGGCTGGTCTTTCCATGGCGGTTGCTGAGTTGCTGACGAGCTGCTGACGAGTTGCGGACAAGTTTCTGATGCCACTGCTCCTCTGTAGCAGGACTGTACGTGAGTGGTGAAGGGTGTGAAGCGTGTATGCCCTTATGCATGTATGCCTGCACGAGTGGGTGCATGTGCTGATGCATGTGTGGATACATGGCGAAAGCATGTACAAATGTCTGTGTCCCCCATGCCTTGCCGAACCATGACCATATGTTGCAACAAAAACAAGCACTCAACCCCCCCACTTCCTTCCTCTCCCCTGTTCGCCTACGCTCCCTCCCACCACCCTACTCCCCCACACAACCCGCTTCCCCACACAAACCCACTCCATCAACCGAGCAGGAGCGCTATCGGGCAAGTACAACGGAGGCAAGAAGCCGCCTGGTGCGCGCTTCACCCTCTTCCAGGGCTACCAGGAGCGCTTCACCACCGGGGCCATGGCTGAGGCCTCCCAGGTCTACACCGACTTTGCTGAGAGTGTTGGTGAGTTGAGGGAGAAGACATGCTGAGCGAGGAGAAGGGCCAGTAGGTGTGTGGAGGAGGGGAGGAGGCGAGGAGGCGCTCCACAAGAGAGTACGCACACATGCGTTTCATTCACCACAGCAGCTGTGGCTGACTTACACCAACTTTGCTGAAGCGAGTATGGAGAAGGGGCGAGCAACAAGAGGGGAGCGCTTTTACGTGCAGGTGGAAGTGGCCGTGTTGTAGTCCGCTTTCGCCAGGTCTGATTTGCCTGCACATGGATTTCATCTCTGTAATCCCTCCTCCATCCCTCGTCCCTCTCTTTGCAACACCACCTCATCCATATCTACTGCTCCCAACCCTGTGCCATGCACAGCCCCACCACACTCATCTCTCTGGACCGTCACACTTCCTCACCTACACCCCTCACCTCCCTCTCTCCTCCGCGCACCAGCCTTGGTCTCCCGCTCCACACTACTCCCTCCTCCCCCTCACCACCCTTTATCCGTCTCCTCCCTATTTCCTATTCTCCTGCTCACCTGCCTCCCCCCCACCCCTGTGCAAGCAGGCATACCCCAGGCGCAGCTGGCGCTGGCGTGGTGCAAGTCGTTGTGATTTTTTAGTAGACGCAATAATCTGTCCCCTCTCCCCACCCATCTACAATCAGGCATCCCCCCGGCGCAGCTGGCGCTGGCGTGGTGCAAGTCGCGGTGGTATGTGACGTCCACCATCTTTGGCGCCACCACCATGGAGCAGCTCAAGGAGAACCTCGGTCAGTGCTGCACACATGCGTGCCTTGGGCTCAGTGTAAATTCGGGTGCATGTGCCTTGGGCTGAGTTTAAATTGGGGGGCATGTGGGCTGCCATAGCTCAAGGAAAATCGCAGACAGCGCATGCGTGCACGTGTGTGAGTGAGTGGGTGGGCCATTGGCTGGGCTGTGAGACCTCTCAAAAGCCGCGATGGCTATGTGACATCAACCTTCTTAGGCTCCCACCACCACGATGGAGCAGCTCAAGCAGAACCTCACACCACAGTGCACAATGCACCCACATGCCTTGGGTTGGCGTTAGATTGGGAGGTGCTGGTGGCTTCGATTGGGAGGCACGACCTGGGTGCCTGTCTCCTGCTATGTGTGCTCTCGATTTTGCTTGCCGTTTTGTTTGCTTTGGTTGGTTGGGTGTGTGCTTGCCGTGCTGCCGGTTGCTCTGTGTTGAGTGTGTGTTGCGGTGGTGGGAAGTGAGTCAAAGACTCTTGTCCCCTGTCTCCTTCCCACCACCTGCCCCAAGCTAACATGTTTGTACCCCTTCTCCATTGTCTGTGTGAATGTGAGTGTGTGTATGCAGATGCATTTGAGATGGATCTCTCTCCTGAGGTGCTGGAGGGCATTGATAAGATCCACCTGCAGAAGAAGGACCCGGCCATGCTCCTCTAAATGCACCTACAGTCTACACAGACCTTGCATTAGATTCTCCAGTTCACATGCACCGATGTTGAGCACCTCTCCCTTCAACATGGAGAAAGGTCTGGGGGAACTAAGGGGCTTGATGAATGGGCATGAGGATGAAGGTAGGCATTGAACTGAGATGTAAAGGAGGAATGAGATATGTGAATTGCAACCCACATTTACGGCTACTGTAGAGCCTGTATTTCTTGCAGTATCTTCTCTGGTACAAGCAAACTCGTCAAGACACGACATGCACATACGTTTGACAGCCAAAATGATACCTGGGAAAGCTGGTATTGAGAGTATTCTGTAAGATATATCAAGGATCTAACTCCAGGAATAAACTAACCGTTACACTGTCTTGCGACGTGTTAGCCTTGCGATCTTCCCATCCGTGATCCTTTGACGTTAGTTCTCCCGGTCGGCTGGAGATTAATCTCTCCCTCAATTTCGATATTCCCTGAAGAATAGTGACAGGGATTTAGTGCTGTCTCGCTGGTTTGCTCGGTGTCTAGGATTCCTCGCAGTCAGATCAAACTATCCTTACTTGGTCATTCCATGGATGCGGATAGAAACTCGGTTACCTGGTCACAATTCAGGTCAATTCCCGTGGTTGTGCGGCTTGAGTGACCGATGCCGTGGGTCACGATGATCAGGACGGGAGATCTGACGAGCCGACGAGGTGCAAGGTCCGTGGTCTCGTAGGGAATTCCCCGCAGACTAAACTATCACCACCACCAGCTGCTGCTGCTGCTGCTCGTCGCATTCAGCCTAACGTTACCTGTACAGCCTCCATTTTGGCACAAGAGCGTTAGTTCCGCAAGCGTTTCCCTCTGCACCTTCCGTACCATATATTTTCTAGCCGTCCCGATTCCTCCTGCGCGTTTCGTCGCGTCGATCCGGCTGACGCGGCAGCCATGGCGGCTCGTCCAATGACACCAACGGCTAACGCATCCCAGCCCCAGTCTCAGATCCCCAACGGCACCGGTCCATCTGCCACCGCCACCACCCCCATTTCCGCATCTGCCGCTGCGCCGTCGCTCGCGGAGATCCGTTCCCTGACCGACATCGGCGCGATGACGCGGCTGCTGCACGAAACCGTCGCGCGCGAGCGAGACATTGACAACGAGCTCGCCGCGCTGCTCGCCGCGAGAGGCGGGCTGGAGCGGCGACTCCTGGGCCTGCACAAAGCCGCCACGGACGTCCTCGAATTAGTCCGCACGGACGCCGATGCGGTTCTCGCGTCGGTGTCGGGAACCAGCCAGCTGGCATCTCGGGTCAGCGGGAGCGTCCGGGAGCGTGACGCGGCGCAGTCCCGCGTCGCAACGACCATCGCGCGCATCGATGCGATCGTGGACCGCAGTAACTGCATCACCGGCGCGCGGAACGCGCTCGAAGCGTCGGATTACGAGGCGGCGTCGCGATTCATAGAGACGTTTCTGCAGCTTGACGAGGAGCTCCTCCATCCCACCACGCCGCGCTCCCCGATTGCAGCGGCGGACGCGGCGGCGGTGCTCCTCGGGCAGGCCCCTCCGCAAGCGCAGGCGGGGGCGTCCCCGCGTGCGATTGACTCGCAGGCGGCGGAGACTGCGCGGGAGCAGCGGAGGCAGCTGATGGAGTCGAAGGTTAAGCTTGAGGGGGTGATCCGCAAACGGTTTGCGGCGGCGGCGGACGAAATGGACCAGGCGGGGGTGGAGCGGTTTGTGCGCCTGTTTCCCCCGCTGGGGCTGCAGGCGGAAGGCTTGCGCGCGCTCGTGGGATATCTCCGGAAGGTCGTGGCGGTGCGCGCGCGTGAGCAATTCGCGGCGCTGCTTTCGACCCTCGATGTTGCCGCCAGCACCGCCGGCGGCGGCGGCGCAGCCGCCGCGATGCTTGCCGTCTCCCCGCAGGCGGATTTCGCGGAGGCGCTCACTGCGCTTCTCCGTGATGTGGCGCTCGCTGTAGAGAGCAACGAGGAGCTCCTTAAAGCGGTTGCCGGCGAGGACGGCGTGGTGGCGGCGATTAAAGAGCTCCAAGCCGAGTGCGACGCGCGATCCGCCGCCATTCTTCGCAAGTACGTCGAACATCGTCGCCTGCCACGCATGGCGAAAGAAGCGGCGGCGGCGGCGGCTGCAGCAGGGTACACACTCGGCAGCACCGGCGGCGGGCAAGGAGGGGGTTTCAGGGCAGCAGCGGCAGTAGTGGCTTCGGACGGATCGGTGGTGGGACCGAACCCTCAAGAGGTGGAGGCATGTTTGGAGGAGGCGCTCTTGCTCTCCCAGCGCAGTCACGAGTACGCGCGGTTCATCGCCGCGAAGCTTCGCGACGCGGAAGCGGCGGGTGCAGGGGTCTCCCCGCGCACCCTCACCACCTTCGCCAGCTTCGCCGCGCCCAGCGGAACCGGCGGCGGCGGCGGCGGGCCCGGCAGTGGAGGAGGAGGCGGTGGAGGGAGTGGTGTGGGCGGCGGCGCGTTCGGGAAGATCCTAGTGGACGTTATGGGGTTCTATGTGACTTTGGAGGAGTATTTCATGGTGGAGAACGTTGGGAAGGCTATTAGGATAGATGAGCCCGTACCGGACTCGTTTACCTCTTCTATGGTAGACGACGTGTTCTTTATTCTCCAGAACGGCACTCGCCGCGCCGTCGCCACGTCATTCCTCCCTGCGGCCGCCGCCGTGCTAGCCGCCACCGCCGCCGTCCTTCGCGCGGACCTCCGCGACGCGCTGCAGAGGAGATTAAGAGAGCCTAACCTCGCGGCGCGGCTGCTGGCCTCTGTGGCGGCTAGTGCGGCGGCAGGTGCAGGCGGGGTGGCGGGAGTGACGGGGGGAGTGGGTGGAGGGGCGGGCGGGGTGGGGGGAGGGGGGGGGGGGGGGGGGGGGAGGCGCAGGGGGGATGGGCGCAGGAGGCGGGGGGTCGGAAGCGACGCTGGCGCTGGCGCTGAACAACGCGGATGTGAGCGCGGAGTATGCAATGAAGCTGAAGCAGGAGGCGGAAGAATACAGCCTCGAGGTGAGCGGGGGAGATGAGGGGGGATGGGGATAAGGGACGGGGATGAGGGGCTGAAGATGAGGGCCTGGGGCTGAAGGGGCTGGGATTGAAGGGTTGGGTGACAAGGTATGGGAGACAGGGGCAGAGGCGGGGGAGGAATGGGGATGACGACAAAGTTGGAAGTAGTAATACGTCTAGGGCTGTGAGTGGTATGTGGAAGGGAATGGGTTGAAGGGATGGGAGTGTGTACGTGCGAGGTGTTTTGTGAAGGTGAAACAGGTTCCAGGGGAAGCAGAGCGTAGAGGTGGGGGTGTTGACAGTGGGATGAAAAGGAACATGCTGGCTTTTGTTGATGGCGTCTGTGTGAGCACGGGTATGTGTGTGCAAAGGTTTGTGTGATTGCCTATGTTTGCATGCGCGTGTGTGTTGGCGCGTGTATGTGTGTTAGCGTTTGTACAAGCCTGCGTGTGTGAGTCTCTCATATTGCAATGCAACTCGTGCAAAGACGCTCTGGAGTCGTCCTGAAACTCGTACCTACGCCCTGGTAGTGACCTGTGTCTGTGGCTCTGACCTCTCGTCTCGAATATTTGATCCGCTGGGGCTGTAGGTGAGGCAGTGGCCTGTGTCACTTGCGTGTCAAAGCAAGTATGTTTACAAGGAGTTCCCAGGCACTTGAGCCCGTGTGCTGAATCAGTTTTGTTAGAATTCTAAAAAAAAGGTGCAGGCAGGGAAGGTTTTCCAGCTATTTGTGGCCCATACAGCAGGATGCACCCCTACCTCTCCTTCCCCACTTCCTCCGCAGCCCCTTCACCCTGACGTACTCCCAGTCCTCATCTCTCACAGTGCATGCAGAGTCTCTACATCACTGCCTATCACTCACACGCAGTGGCCTGCCAGCATATTCAGACCCCAAACCATCCCACGCGCTCTGGAAGACTCCTGCTCACTTTCCTACTAATCGTAACTCATCACCCCATCGCCTCCTCCCCTACCCCTCCCCCGTCCCTCCCCACCCACCAGGTGTTCCCCGCGCCAGCAGACAGGGAGCGTCTGAAGCCCATACTCGCCGACCTGGGGGAAACCAGCGCCGTGTTCCGCCAGGTAGCATCCACAGGCTTAGAGCAGCTGGCCAACGGCATCGCACCGCGACTCCGCCCAGTCCTCGACCTGCTGGCCTCGTCCATCTCCTACGAGCTCTCTGAAGCAGAGTACGAGGAGAGAGAAGCCAGCGACCCCTGGGTGCAGCGGCTCCTGCTCGCACTCGAAGCCTGCCTCGCGCCGCTACAGCCGCTGCTAACCGCGGCCAATCACGACGGGCTGGTCGGGCTGGTGACAGATATGGTGGCACGGAGGGTGGAGGCGGCTGTAGCGCAGAAGCGGTTCAACCAGCTGGGCGGGCTACAGCTGGACCGGGAGGTGCGGACGCTCGTGGGTCACCTGTCCGCGCTCACGTCGCGGTCCGTGCGTGAGAAATTCGCGCGGCTGACTCAGATCGCCACGGTGCTGAATCTGGAGAAGGTGGGGGAGATTTTGGACTACTGGGGGGAGAACGCGGGACCAATGACGTGGAGGCTGAGTGCTGCGGAAGTGAAGCGGGTGCTGGGGCAGCGGGTGGACTTCCGGCCTGAGGCCATTGCCAACCTGCAGCTGTAGCTGCCGGGGTGCCAGGCTACCAGGGCTGTTGCTGTAACAGGCAGGTGTAGCTGTTAATCTGTAGCGCTGAGTTGTGGCGAGGTGGGTGGTCGATATGGTGCTGGGGCAGCGGGTGGACTTCCAGCCCCTGAGGCCATTGCCAACCTGCAGTTGTAGCTGCCACGCTGAAGCGGGCAGCTGTAGAGGCAAGTATTTAGCGGCGAGCTGTAGTGGGCAGCTGTAGCAGCTAGCTGTAGCGCTGCGTTGTGGGAATGAGTTGTGGCGAGGTGGGAGGTGAAGCGGGAAGGAGGAAGGCTCTCCAACAGCTTAGCAACGACATGGCGCTTTGTATGACCCAGGGCATAAGTGCACAGGCCCCGTGTGGCAGTGACCTCTGGGACATGACTGTGACTATGCGGTCAGGGTGGTGGTGCTGGTGGCTTCTGTACTGGGCTGGGCTGGGCTGGGCTGGGCTGGATGGGTAGCAACACGGTCCCAGTGAGGACAGGATGCAGGTAGGATTCGTTGTGGGAGGAAGGGTTGCGGGGTGAGTGAGTGAGTGAGGGAGTAAAGCTTGTAGTCTGAAATCGAGATGAAGTGCTATGTGGGATTTCATGGGGCTGGTGTGGTGTGCTGTTCTGGTTGTACTTGTGGCTCCTGAAAACCACTTGAGGAGCTAAGAACGATGCAAGTGATGCAGTAGGTGTGGTGAAGCGTTAAGCATGCTGATATACATACGGTATGGATGGACGCACGGCGTTGAGGAATGACTGCTGCTCCTGTCCGTTTTCAGCATGATAAACGGTCGGCTTGCATGGCCTGATTGGTGGTAGGAACTCCGTTACGTGTGCTTCGTGGGCGCTAGCCTTGCATATGGTGGGAGAGAACTGTTGCGACCAAGGGCAAAGCCACAATGATGTTACCGTACACTGTTGAGCATAGAGTACTGTGACTTGGGTGGTGTACTGCACTGTTGGATTGCTGCCTTGCAAGGACCAGAGAGACTCTCGTGATGTTGAGCAGAGAGAATGAAATGGAATCATTGCTAATGGAGCAGTCCCTGGGAGTGTGCTACCGGTCAGGGCTTCAGATTCGTTTTGGGCCACCCTTAGTAATCAGGGTTCTAGGTATAGTCAACCCTGATGCCTAGGGTAAAATTTTTGTTTCCCTGACAAATGCAGGGTAAAAAAACAGTAACACTGTTTGGCAAGGGTATTTTTTTCGAAGATTCCTCTATTAATATTTCTGAGATTGTCAAGTTCAAGACTTAGTGGCTTAGCTGGTATGTTACGGATTAGGGTCTGAAAGGCAGCAGGTTTGAGTCTCGTTAACGGGAGTGTTTTGCAGGGGCATTCGGTATCAGTATTGTTAGAAACCTAAGTTGACTTAGGACTTGGGTTGAGGGTAGAACGAGAGTTACGAGAGGAAGGGGTCGAGAGATTAGCCAAAAGAGGTTGTTCACTATAGAGCGAGCAGTACAAATAGGCAAGCATGAGAGTGCACCACCAAACAAGAACATAGAGCTACACTAGGTCTACACTACAGGCAGTTATAGTAATGTATACAAGTACATTCTGACACACCCCCTAACTGCCTGCAGTGAAGAACCATGTGCAGAAACACCCCCGGAAGGGGTACACCAAGCGCAGCGGAAGACGGTAGAGAGGAATGCGAGGAGGAGGAGATGAGAGAGAGAGAGGGGAGAGGAGAGGAATGAGGAGAGGAGGTGGGGGAGCCACGCGGCGAGCCCCTCTTACGAACCCCCGTTTTACGAAGGGGGGGGATGAGAGAGGGATGAGGAGAGGAGGTGGGGGAGCCACGCGGCGAGCCCCTCTTACGAACCCCCTGTTTACAAGGGGGGGTGGTGAGAGAGGGAGGAGAGGAGGTGGGGGGGAGCCTAGCGCGGCGAGCCCCTCTTACTAACCCCCTAATTCCACGCCCCCTTTCAGCCACCCCCCTTGTCAACCTCACCCCCCTTGTCAACCGCCCCTGGAACCTCACGTCTTCCCCCCACCCTTCCTCCAACGCCACCCCCTCACCCTCCCCCCCCCCCCTCTCCCCCCCACCCCAGGAGGGGCGACAGGAAGAGAGAGGAGGTGGGCTGGCGCATGCTGGTCATCCCTGCCACCCCCTCACCCTCCCCCCCACCCCACTGCAGTAGGAGTGGAGAGGTGGAGGGACGGCTGTTGGCGTGTCACACCCCCCACCCCCACACCCTCCCCCCACCCCTTTCACGGCTGCACCAGCAGCAGGGAGAGGGAGAAGGCTGGCGGCGGCGTAGCGCAGCAGCAGAGTGGCGTCAACCACCCCCGCCCCCCAACACCCTCCCCCCCCCCCCTGGTGCACGAGCAGCAGTGAGAAAGGGGAAAAATGGCGGGCGAGGGTGCAGCAGGCGGCTGCAGTTGCGCGTGTGGCTGCAGCTGCAGGTGTCGCTGCAGTCGCGCGAGAGGTTGCTGCTGCGCGTGCGGCTGCAGCTGCGCAATTCGCTGCAGTCGCGCGCGTGACTGGTGACGTGTGTGCAGCTGCGCGTTCGCGGTTGCGTGCGTGCGGCTGTGCGCACTGCGCACCGCTGGACGGGGACGAGACGGGCCGGGGCAGCGAGGGACGGACGGGCTGCGACGAGGGGGCCGAAACGGGGCCGCATCTGGCGCCATCGCGCAGCTCGCCGTCATGGGCAGCGTGACGGACGGAAGCTGCGCGACGGGCAGCACGAAGCAGGGATCGAATGGGGGCGAAGGCGCCATGCAGGAGCGAGAAAGTAACAGCGGTGGGCCCATGGACAACAGGTCTTAGGAGCTTAAGTGCTCTGAAACCATGTTAGAAACCTAAGTTGACTTAGGACTTGGGTTGAGGGTAGAACGAGAGTTACGAGAGGAAGGGGTCGAGAGATTAGCCAAAAGAGGTTGTTCACTATAGAGCGAGCAGTACAAATAGGCAAGCATGAGAGTGCACCACCAAACAAGAACATAGAGCTACACTAGGTCTACACTACAGGCAGTTATAGTAATGTATACAAGTACATTCTGACAAGTATTACTGGGATTGTACACTGTACAGTCAGGGAAATATGTTCCTTACGCTGTTTTTCAAAGGGTACAAAAAAACTTACACTTTCTGGCCTAGGGTAAAAAATCCACTACCCTGTCTGTGAAAGGGTAACTGAAAAAAAGCGGCCGCCAGTCAGTTCAAAAAGGGTATTTTACCCTGATAACGAGAGCCCTGCTACCGGTACCGTAGTTCATTCCAACTTCCGGTACCGGTACCTTCAGCCTACCTCCATGCATGCAGGCCAGAAGGCTTGCGTTCACAAGCACCTGAGGTGCATTCACTGCAGCAGGAATACGTACACAATGCAAGCATACTGCTCATGCCGCTCCTTAATTCCCTTCCTAGCTGTGTGTGTTTGTGCCCGTGATTATGCTACTCCTCGCAGAGTGGGTTTATAATCAGTCAACGCACCAGTGGGTATATAACATAACATGTATTTAGTACCGTATATAGAGATAATACATACATATGCACATGTGATCGAACGCATCCTTAAACATCATACTCCAGAGAGAGCCTCTCTAACTGGTCACAGCAGTGGCAAGCATGAGAGGCCCCCTCGCTGTCCCGTGCACCTCCTCAGCCATCAGGGGTTGCAGCGACCAGCCGTCAGCGATTGGAGCAAGCTGAGCTGCGGGGTGACAGCAGAAGGGTAAGAGCAGGAGAGGCGGGTGAGATTCAGAGCTTCCAAGCCATTCGTGCAGCAAAGGTTTCAAGCGAAAAGCGAGGAGACTAGGAGGCAGTAACCATACAGACACACCGGCATGTGTCACACGTGCCATGCTCCGCACACAGGCATGTGTTGTGGCACGTACGAGGGGAGACCGGAGAGGCGCAGAGCCCAGGCGATGTCCCAGCCGTCGTCGTGATTGAGGTGCACCTCTGCTGCCACCACGTTCACCCCGTCTGTCAGCACCGGCGCTGCTGCCGCCCCTGGCAGAGCCACTGTCTTGTCCGTGTAGATGAACCCATCATCGTTGTCATTGATCGCCTCTTTATCCGCCAGCGCCTGCACGGAGGGGAAAGAGGGGCAACAGGGAACGGGACGAGCCACGAGGGGTTGAAGTTGTGCGAGCAGGGTGGGCTTGGGGCGGGAGAATTAGGAACGGTGTGCTGTGGGAAAGCGGAGGGAACAGGTGGATCATGTGTGAGCAGGTTAGCGAGCTCTACGACGTGTGTTGGCTGCTGTGCGAGGCGGCATGAGGTGAGCGGTGAGAGACGCGAGGTGAGATGGATGAGGTGAGAGGCTCGAGGGGAGGGGCGAGAGGTGGGCGGCGAGGGCGACGGGCTGACGTTTGAGTCGACTCAAAATTCAGGGCGAGAGGTGGGAGGCGGGGGCGAGGGGCTGACGTACGGAGGTGGCATTGGTGACATCCCCCTGGGGCATGTTGAGGCGCAGCACCTCACGGTTGTTGATGTAGACAATCACACCATCGTTCACCGGCATTTGCAGCAGCAAGCTCGAGAAGCACGCGGAGTTGGTGAGAGAGAAGGTCGTGCGGAAGTAGTATGTCGTGCGCGCGTCCCACGATGGCTCCGCCAGGAACGTGCCCACCTTGTCCCAGTCAACTGTTGGCATGACAGGGGAAGGAGGAGTGGAGTGTTGCGTTGGTAAGGAGGCAGGGGCATTGAGAGTGAGAGGGTGTGGGCGGTGGGACAAAGCAGAGGAGCAGGGCTGCATGGCACGGCAAGGTACTACCCAGTGGAAGGAGAAGAATTCTCAAACGGCATTTCAACAGAGGAGCAGGGCAGCATGGCCGCAGCAGGGCAGCATGGCCGCAGCAGGGCAGCATGGCCGCAGCAGGGCAGCATGGCCGCAGCAGGGCAGCATGGCATGGCAAGGTACAACACAGTGGAAGGAGACAGCAGCAGCAGCAGCAGTGGCAGTGGCAGTAATGTCGGCAGCGGATGGCTCAACCACAACGCAGCCCACCACAGTGCACCGCACACGAGAGCATCAGTGCATGAGAGCGAGTGTGAGTGCTTACATCCCACGTAGGCGAGCGGGGCAGGGCCTGAGGGCCAGGAGGAGTCCGAGAAATTCGGGTTGTAGAAGGCTGGACCGCCGGGGGAGAGCGGATGCAGCTCCCCCCCCTCCTGATTGTAGCGCCACACTGCTCGCGGTGCCAGCAGGCCACAGTGCCTGTGAGGGAGAGAAACGGGAGGGGAGAGAGGGGAGGGGAGAGAGGGGAGGGGAGAGAGAGGAGGGGAGAGAGAGGACAGGGTAGGCATGAAGTGGGTGGGCGGTGGCATGGATGGGGTGAGGGAAGAGAAGCCACAACGGAGTTTTGTGAGTGGGCAGGGGGGGAATGAAGGGGCCGGCGTGCTGCACTGTGCTGTGCTGCGCTGCACTGTGCTGTGCTAAGCCGTGCCGTGCCATGGTGTGGCAGAGTGTGACTCACGAAGGGGTGGAGCAGGGTGCAGGGGGGTCCTGGGAGATATAGACGGTAGCAGGGAGGTAGTAGTTCACATCGCCTGACAGCACCACCTGCACCTGCTGCTGCTCTGACTCCGCTTCACACTCGTATGAGAACAGGGCGGGTGCACGCTGAGTGGTGCCGGTACAGGGCCTGCAGGGAGGAGACGTTGGGAGGATGGAGGGAGGATAGGGGGAGGTGGGAGAGGAGGGCGGCAGAAAAGAGGGGAGACGTCAGGTGGGGGCAATGACAATGCAGGGTGGATAGCTCAACGAGAGAGAGAGCTTACAACGAGAGAGAGAGAGAGAGCTTGCAACGAGAGAGCGAGAACAGAAGAAAAGAAAAGAAACGAAACGAACGAACAAAATAAATACATATCGATGGAAAACCTACCGCCATGCGGCGTTATCAGCCATCCTGGCGGCCCACTGTGTGTCCCCTCCAGCAGGAGCCTTGAGCCTCACCGTCACAGCCCCTCCACAGTCCCCCGCAAAATCTTTGTTCACGCCATCCCCAAAGTACACATTAACCTCCTCCGGCTGCCACTCCTCCTCCCCATCCGGCCCCACCACCTCCACCACATACACCTCCCCCACCAGCGCTGTGATCCCAAACACCCGCACCGCCTCCCCCCCACCCTCCTCCAGCTCGATGTGATTCGAGTTCCCATCAAACGTCTGCTCTGCGCCGTCACTCATGCGAACCACCTTGATGAAGCTCATCACGCCGTGGGCCTGCGTGCGGTTGACGTTGGCTGCGGTGGCGGGCTCGAGGTAGCGGACGTTGACGGTGCGGAAGCAGTGTGTGGGCGAGGGGCACGCGTACGCATTGGCTCCTGGCATGGGCTTGCAGGAGCCGTACGTGCCTGAGGAGGTCAGCGGGGGGAGCACCGCTGTGTTGTTGGCCACTAGGAAACCAGACGGCATTGGGGTGGTGAGAGGGGAGGAGGAGGAGGAGGAGGAGGAGGAGGAGGAGGAGGAGGAGGAGGAGGAGGAGGAGGAGGAGGAGCGGGCAGGCAAGCGGGCAGAAGAAGCAGACTTCCTACGGGAAGCGCGTGAGCGTTTGTGCGAGTGGGGCCTGGGGTAGTAGTTGCTAGGTCGGCCGACAGTTTTCTTGAGAGCAGAAATAGTAGCCGCAGCAGAAGCTGCAGTGCCATGCATGCGACGATGGGAGCTTGCAGCAGCAGCAGCAGCCGCCGCAGCAGCCGCAGGAGCAGCATCAGCAGAAGGAGCAGTAGACGCCGTGACTAGCAGGCGACGGTGGTGCTGAGGGTAAGCTTTCTGTGCCGGGACAAGCTTGCCAAGGGACGCAGGGATTGCAGCACTGGGCCTTGCGGAACCAGAAACAGCAGCAACAGCAGCAGCAGCAGAATCAGCAGCAGCAGCAGCAGCAACTTCGCCAGCGCCAGCAGCAGCGGCAGCAGAAGGGAGTGTGTTCTCGCCAACGGAGGTCTTGCCTAGCACCGACCCCACTATGCTGCCGTCCATGTCCCTCAACGCCACCTGTGCCGCTGCCTCCCCATGGTCCTCCACCTCTGCCTGGTCGTACTGCTCAGGGTCAGGCGCACGGGGAGGGAGAAGTGAGGGGAGGAGAGGAGGGAGAGAGGGAGATAATGCGAGTTGAGATGCGTTGAGACTGGAACTATGACTCGTTGAACTGGTTGTTCAGGCATAGGGCATGATTCTTATCACGTTTGAGAGGGTGAAGTGATACAAGCAGAGCCAAAAGCAAGAAGCGCAGATAGCGAAAGCATTCGTATTCACCATCTAAACCACTCACGTGTGTGGTATTGTGGCATGCACATAAGGGGTGGTGTAGGGTTGGCAGGGCGACTCACTCTGGATGGGTATTTCTGAGGCACGACCAACACTGGGTTGGTCCGCGTTGCAGTGCTGAACTTGAGGTTCTGGTGATGGGGGGAGCAGCAGGGGTAGGGGGTGGATGCACCATTTGTTAGTGCGGCAGGGAAGAAATGTCTTTCTTGAGAATTTATTTGGTAAGCACGTGCAAGCAGCAACGGTCCATGGGTGCAATCAGGAATCAGAAATATGTGGAAATGCTGCTGCCTTGATACTGCAAACGCACTTGGTACTTTGGAACTACACATGATGATGTGGGTGCAACTGTGAGGAGAGAAAGAGCAGAGAGCAGAGAGCAGCAGTGAAGGGCCGTGAAAGACAAGGGCTGCGAGGCACCTTGAAGTTGTTGCCGGCGTTCCAGTAGGTCCCCATGTCCCCCTCCACCGCCACCGCTGCAGACGGCTTGCATGTGCTGTCAAACCCGGCGAACCTGCATGGTGGGTGCGCGGGATGGGGTTGTGGAGGAGGGCAGGAGGAGATGCGATTGCATGATGATGCTGCGCCATGCTGAGTAACGCCGTGCCAGACCATGCCTGTACAGGGTACCATGCTTCAGACCATGCAGCATGTTACGCCCCACGCACTCAACGGTATGCCCCATGCATGGATGCATGGGTGCATGAATGCATGATTGCATGCGTGCACGCACTTAGCGCCGTCAACAGCGTTGTTGAAGAGCCCGTCGGTGAACCATGGGCTCTGCGTGAACACCAGCCCGTACACCGGCTCCTCCCACCCCCCTTCTCCCACACTGCGCCCCTGCTGGCCCTTCGCCAATGGGAACCTGCCACGTGGAGAAGGAAGGAAGGAGAGGAGCGTGTGGAAATGAGGAGGTGGCGGAGCAGGAGGAGAGAGGGAAAGGAGAGGAGTGACCTCTCAAAGCTGAACCACGTAGAAGAAGCGCGGAGCCAGGCCAAACACCCACTCCCTCCCCCACACACTCCCTCAAACCCTCCCTCACTCACTTGCAGCCGGAGACCGGAGCGCAGCCGTTGGAGTCCGGGTCGGTGCAGTCAAAGGGGTTGCCGTAGTTGGCGGTGTGCCCCACCACCGTGAGATCGCGCATCACTATGCCCTCCACCTGATGCATCTCCACCCCCCACACGTTGTCCGCTGCTGTGAACTTATCGAATACCACGTAGTCCGTGTTGTGGATGAACGCGCTGCAGAGGGGAGGGTAGGAGGGGAAGAGGGTGGGAGAGGAGAGAACACGTGAACATGTGTGAATCACCACGTGGTCCGTGTTGTATACAAAGCGCTGGGGTGGAGCGGGAAGCTAGGGGGAGGGAGGAAGCGCGCAAGAGAATGGGGGCAAGTTGCATGGGAGGTAGGGAAGGGAGGGAAGGGAGAAGGGACGGGAAAGAGTGGCAAAGAGGAGGAAGAGAGTGGGATGACGGGTGGACTTACCCCACGTAGGTGTTCTTGTAGAGAGTGAAGCCCGAGATAGTCACCCACACTGGATGGTCCCACTGCAACGATCAACAGAGGGTCACACGGAGCATGGGAGGGGCACACGGAGCATGGGAGGGCCACACGCACCCACACGGATGGACATGCTGGTGTTGGCGAAGGAGCAGCAGGGATGTTATGAGACTGCTCTAAAGATGTGCCAGGGGATCACACACCACACGCACAGCAGGACACAGCTGTGAGTCGCAAGAAACAGCTGAAAACATGGCCGACAGGCACAGGAATGCGCACAGTACGAGACACAGTTTAAAGAGCAGGGAGAGCATACGAGGCACGCAGGAAGCAGCAGGTGGCAGCAGGGGTTAGCAGGGGGGCAAGGCACTGAGGAGGCATGCGAGAGCATGCAAGCAGGCAATGAGGGTTGTGGTGCGACATGTGAAAGAGAGAGGTGGGGACGCACGTAGGTCTCGTCCTGGTCGAGAGTGGAGGCGTTGAAGCGGGGGTTGAACCCCCCGGGGTAGTCACGGAAGCCAATCTCACACGAGTGCGCCACGTTGCCTGCGAACGTGCCCACGCGGTGGTAGTTGAAGGGAATCAGCGTGTTGATCTGCGGCCATTGAGAAGACAGCCCCCTTACTTGGTCCCTCAGCTCCAGCCAGAAGCTGGTGCCATGCAGACAGAGAGGGGAGTGGGGGGAGGGAGAGAGAGATGTTGAGTTGATGGAGGTGGGATGGGGATTAAGGTGACTGCTTGCCAATCCGTTCTGCTCTCAGGAAAACCAAATCACCCACCCACCCATCAACGCATCCATTGAGGTTGGTTCTCAAAAACCAACTTGGGAATTCTCAAAAACCAACTTGGGAATTCTCAAAAACCAACTTGGGAATTCTCAAAAACCAACTTGGGAATTCTCAAAAACCAACTTGGGAATTCTCAAAAACCAACTTGGGAATTCTCAAAAACCAACGCATCCATTGAGCCACCCACCCGGTGTCTTCTGAGCCGGCAGCGACATTGTCGATGTAGTTGTTGTTGGCATTGGTGATCCAAAACGTGGATGGCTCGTTGTCCGTCTCCTCATCCGATATCTTCACCTCCACTGCATACATACAGACACATACACACATATGCACACAGACAGAGTCAGGCACACACGCACAGAGCAACACTCACAGGTTACAGCAGATGGTAAATACGTGCACGACAAAAAAAACAAAAACAACAAAAAACAAAACCAAGAAAACAACGCGTGCAAGCAAGTGCAGTGTGCGCATCCATGCGCGTCCAGACGCCGACGTTCTTACCTGGGCGCGTCCAGATGCCGACGTTCTTACCTGCGCGCGTCCAGATGCCGACGTTGCGGATGAAGGAGTTGCCTTGCTCGCCGCCCTCCTCCACCATGAAGCAATGCCCTCTCGTGTTGAACGCCACGTTCTCCTCCACCGTCAGATTGAAGGTGGCGTGCACCACCACACAGCGCTGCATGGGGGAGGGGGGTGAGAAGGGGACGCGATGAGGATTGAAGGTGGCGTGCACCACCACACAGCGCTGCATGGGAGAGGGGGGTGAGAAGGGGACGCGATGAGGATTGAAGGTGGCGTGCACCACCACACAGCGCTGCATGGGGGAGGGGGGTGAGAAGGGGACGCGATGAGGATTGAAGGTGGCGTGCACCACCACACAGCGCTGCATGGGGGAGGGGGGTGAGAAGGGGACGCGATGAGGATTGAAGGTGGCGTGCACCACCACACAGCGCTGCATGGTGGAAGGTGGGGGGCGGGAGCAGAAGGGGGCAGTGGGGAGGCAGAGAGCGGGGGGAAAGGAACGAGGAGAGAAGGAGAGGGGACGAGGATGGAGGGATGGACAATCAGTGGACGTGTACTTTTTGAGTCGACTCAAAAGTCACCTTGAGGACATGGAAAGATTCGCAGAAAGAAAGTCTGTGTACAGGCAAGGCACGCTCAGAGTGGAATCAATCAATCCAGCACACAGCACACAGCACGAAGCACGCAGCAGCCAGCAAACAGCACCCACCTGCTTGCTGTCATGCATGACGTTCTTGCGCACCACGCTCCTCCCCGCCTGATTCCCACAGAGGTGGAAGTGGATGTTATAGCGCCCCAGCTGCCCCTGCTGCCCCATCTGGGCAAACTCCACGCCCTCTATCAGCTGCGCGGTCTGAGTGAAGAACACCATGAAGTGCCCGCCCTCCCAGTTGTAAGGTGCCGCCTCGTCCTCCCCTCGAATGGTCGCTGTGCGGTTGAGTAGCACCACCTCCCCGCGCTCGTCTATCGTGCCGCCGAACCCGTCGGGCACCACCTCTCCGAAGTGGCTGTAGGAGAGCGGCGCGCTCAGCGCCACTTTCCACTTGCTGCCGCCCACCGCCGTCACTGCAGCAAGGGGGAGCAGGGTGATGGTGATGATGCAGAATCTGGTAAAATTTCGCATATACATGAGCAGCTGGCATGGGGGGAAGTTGCGACGAGGAGGGTGAAGCAGATGGGGCGAATGAGAGGAAGCAGGAGAGAGGGAGGGAGTGTATGAGAGACGGCGCGAGAGAGATGGGCTGCTGCACTACCAGCTCGGTAGCCCACCAGAGACTAGAGTGAACGGCAAAAGGGAAACTGGCTGAGAGAGGGGAGAGGGACAAGCAGTGAAAGGCACTCTTGAGAGGTCCCAACACAGGCCCACTCACTCACCAGCAACGATTTTGGCGACGTCGATCTGGTCGGGATAGAAGTCGGTGGAGGCGAGGCCGACATGGAAGCCCACGGGCCATGCGGAGACGTCCCGGTCCACCAGGATGGCTGTATCGCCCGCCTGTGCTGTCGCTGCCAGGCGGCACCACGAGGGCGTGGAGGAGCCCCCCGGCATGCCGTGCATGCGCACCTGCCCTCCCACCACGACGAAGGCCTTGTGGCCGAAGTTGCGGGGGTTGGCGGGGTCAGCGGGTGCGTTGGCGGTGTACTGGTAGGGCGCGCGGCCGTTGGGGTTGTGCGTGAGCGTGAAGACGACCTTCTGAGAGAAGTGCTTTGCGCTGCTGCCTGCGATCAGCTGCCCCTCCACGATCACAAACGACGCGTTCACCTGCACCAGCGGCCGTGACGGCGTGTCCTCGATCCTGCCAATAGCACATGGGGGGAGGCATGGGGGACGGGGGGGATTTAGGGGGGATTTAGGGGGCAGGGGGGGAAGAAGAGGGTGGAAACGGTGCAGAGAATATGAAGACTGGAGCCTTCTCCCTCTTGTTCACTCCTCATTCCTGTACACTGTTCAGTCCTACTCACTTGAGCATGCCCCGGATGGTGAGAGTGGAGAGGACGACAGAGGGCATGTCGAGAAGCACGGCCACGCCGCACGGGATGGTGGCGTTGGCGCCCTTGCCCGCCCCCACGCCCGGCACCACTCCCCCCGGCCACGTTGCCGCGTCGCTCCACAGATTGAAGCCTGGAGGGGGAGAAGGGGGGAGAGAAGGAGAAGCGGAGATGAATGGGGGGAAGGGGGGCAAGGGATGAGAGAACGGGACGGGGCGTGGGGAAAAAGGGAGGAGGGAGAGGGCGGAGATAGGAAGAGAGGAGCAGAGAAGAACGGATAATAAACGAGTGCAACACCAGGTGAGCGGCGACCATCCCCCTCTTATAATCACTGCGTTGGACAGCGTGTGCTGCGGGATTCGCGACGACCGTCACGGCGGGCTGTGACGCACCGGCGGGGGGAGGGTCCGGGAGCGGCGTGCACGGCGAGGTGAAGTTATCCCACGGGACTTGCGGCGTCGCACGCGCCACGGGTAGGACTCCGCGGTCCCTGGAGAGCGCGAGATGGCAGCACGCGGCGAGGAGCACCGCGGAGAGCGGAGACAATGCGCGGAAGCGGCGGCAAGAGGCGGAGCGGCGGTGGCTGGTGCGAGAAGTCGGCGGGCGAGCGACGGAGGCCATGATGGCAGTAATGAGGGTATGCGGGGTGCAACCGCTGCGGTGACTGTGCGACGGTGAAAAGTATACTAGTAGTACTGCTGCGAGCGATACTTGGAACTGGAATGGATTGGGCATATATATGGATGGGTGCTAGTAGTAATCGAGGGGAGCAACCACGGGGTGGTTCGATACGGTGAAAATGGCGGGTCCAACAAATTGTTACGGAGGGTGTTGTGCCTGCCGGCTTTAGGGTTACCACCACCTGTGGACGGCTGGGGGCGTGGTATGAAGAAATTCGTGTTCCAATAGTACTACGTCTACTGAATTCTGAATGTTCTCTTCTGGTGCCCATGATAGTCGGTGGTGTGTGCTATTATACTGTCAGCGCACGGATTCCACCCGCGCTCTGCGACGCCTGCGCTTTGCGAGCTTGAGACGTCGCGTGAAACGGCGACGTCATGTCACCGACCGTGTGGGGGCTGCTCTCGTTAACACCTTCTCTCGATCGCCTCCGGCAACACTTTCGAAATATCGTTCATCTGTTACGTATACCTAAAGCGAACGCGCAGGAGGAGCCTCCTGAGCATGTCGACCGACGCTGCTGCCGCGAAGCCGGACGAGGTGACCGTTGGGACCACGGCCGGAGACGAGAGCGCGCCGCTGAAGAAATCGCGGAAGATTCTCGTAGCGGTGGACCCGAGCGACGAGAGCTCGTACGCGTTAAAGTGGGCTCTCGAGAATGTGATACAAGCGGAGGACAAGGTTCACCTGCTACACGCGCAGCCGTACCCGAAAGTTTACGCAGGACCCGCGGGTCCAGGTAAGAAGACCTTATTTCTGCCTGGCGATACCTTTGGAAAGTGGAGGAGGGGGATTAGGAGCTGTCTCACTGGCAGCTGAAGCCGAGATTCTCTCACATGCGACGCACATGGGTCAGAATTGCACAGCAGAACGATTGCTGAGGGTTAGAATTGCAGAGAGAGGAGATTTGTTGATGTTTTTAATCAGCAAAGGGAGATGGTTCTAGAAGATTATATTTGCCAAGAGAGACGTCTCCTGCGGGTTGGAATGTTACCGTGGTGGAATGAAGCAGAACCTGTCTTCGTGGAGTGTTTTTTTTTTTTTTTTTTTTTTTTTTTTTTTTGCAAGAATCTAATCCAGCCCGGTTTAGGTCCCCTTCGGGGTTCTACGTGCCAGGCTTGGTTCCTCGTGTGTTTCAAACCTGGCAGTCTCTAGAAGACGGCACGCCCGTTGTGCACGCCCGTTGTGCACGTAAGCAACTCATTACACCTCCCAGCCGTGTCGGGTTTCGCTGCAGGTTCAATTATGCGAAACAAGCCTTTTGAATCTTTCAAGGGTAACTCACCAATGCCCCCCCAGCCCGCTTTGGTTCCGCTGGTGCAGGGTTCTGCGTGCCGTCGGAGGTGGTGGAGACGATGAAGAAGCAATATTCGAGTGACTTTTGAGAATTCTCAAAAGTCAATATCGCCGGAGGTGGTTGAGATGATGAAGAAGCAGGAGGAGGCTGCGAGCCTATGGTCCATGCAGAGCAGAGCAAGCCCCATGTTGACTTTTGAGTCGACTCAAAAGTCAACTAGCAAGCCCCGTGTGTAGTTGAAGCCAACACGCCGCTTGCCTCTACTGGCTAGTCCCTTCCCTCACCAATGCCCCCCTAGCCCGGGTCGGTTCCACTGGTGCAGGGTTTTACGTGTTTCGAGAGGTGGTGGAGACAATGAAGAAGCAGGAGGAGGCTGTCAGTCTCTAGTCCATGCAAGCCAACCAACCCCCCTTGTGTGGTTGAAGGCAACTCACCAATGCCCCCTTAGCAGGAGGAGGCTGTCAGCCGCCAGGTGCTGCGCGCCGCTTGACTCGAGTAGCTACACGCCTCTTGTCTCCACTGGCTTGTCCCTCACCAATCTCCCCCCAGCCCGGTTTGGTGCTGCTGGTGCAGGGTTCTACGTGCCGCCGGAGGTGGTGGAGACGATGAAGAAGCAGGAGGAGGCCGTCAGTCGCCAGGTGCTGCGCGCTGCCAAGGCCATGTGCGAGCAGTTCAAGGTGCGAAAGGGGGAAAAGAGGGGGGGGGAAGGGGGGTGGAAGGGGGTGGAAGGGGGTGGAAGGGGGTAGAAGGGGGGGAAGAGGAGGGGAGAAGGAGGTGAAATGCAAAGAATGAAAGAAAGAGAACAGCTTATAGCAGAGGAGACTAAAGTTTTACAGTGACCAGCTGAGGCCAGGGAGAGGTGCAGCATTCATGCCCCCCAGTGAATCTCTATCCCTCCCCATCCCTCTCCACCGCATCTCACAGGTATCAGCCGAGGCGGACGTGATAGAGGGCGAGCCCAGGGAGTCCATCTGTGATGCCGTGGAGCAGCTGGGCGTGCAGCTGCTGGTGATTGGCAGCCATGGCTACGGTACCGTGAAGAGGTGAGCATCAGACTGGCAGCACTGTAAGTGATTGACAGCCATGGCTATCTTCACCTGAAATGAATGGCGAATGGCGGTCCAGACGGCGTCAAGAGTTGCGTAATGGCCATGGCTACGGCCATGGTTGCTACTGGGTCTCAGCACATGTTATGATGTACACTCGAGGCAATGATGCTGCCCAGAGGTGAGCATCTGACAGGCAACAGTATTGTTGAAAGGTGGGTGCTTTTGATGTTGCCAGCAGTTGGGCGTGCAGCTGCTGGTGATTGGCAGCCATGGCTACGGCACTGTCAAGAGGTGCGTCTTGAAGGGGGCTTCAAAACATTTGTGGCTGTTGACAACATCAATCCATGGCCACGGCACCGTCAAGAGGTACGTATTGATGGGGAATGTGTTGATGGGGTACGTGCTGATGGGGTGCGTGCTGATGGGGTCTCAAACCACTTGGTGAAACATCTCAGAACGCATTGAAGCGAAGAGATGTTTGACCATAAGGTTGCGATGTTTGTGAAATTTTCAACTCTTGTGGAAAATGGTTCAAGACGTATGTGAGTTGTCAGCAGCATGAGCAACTGCTGCTCCATGTGATGCGGCATTCATGGGCGCTCCATGTGATGCGGCATTCATGTGTGCTCCATGTGATGCGGCATTCATGTGTGCTCCATGTGATGCGGCATTCATGTGTGCTCCATGTGATGCGGCATTCATGTGTGCTCCATGTGATGCGGCATTCATGTGTGCTCCATGTGATGCGGCATTCATGTGTGCTCCATGTGATGCGGCATTCATGTGTGCTCCATGTGATGCGGCATTCATGTGTGCTCCATGTGATGCGGCATTCATGTGTGCTCCATGTGATGCGGCATTCATGTGTGCTCCATGTGATGCGGCATTCATGTGTGCTCCATGTGATGCGGCATTCATGGGCGCTCCATGCTACATGCAACTCTCATGGCAGGACTTTCCCAGCATGTGAGCGACTCTGTTATGTGTGCACCATGCCATGCCATAACCTCCATTACCCCTCCCCACCCCCTCCTCCCCCTACCAGGGCGTTCCTGGGCAGTGTGAGCGACTACTGTGTGGATCATGCTGCTTGCCCCAACCTCCCTTTCCCCTTCCCTTCCCCCCCCCTTCCTCTTCCCCCCTCCCCCCCCTACCAGGGCGTTCCTGGGCAGTGTGAGCGACTACTGTGTGCATCATGCTGCTTGCCCTGTGGTCGTGGTTCGTAAGGTGTAAATTTGTGGTTCGGAAGTTATAAAACTGTAATTTGGGAGGTGTAATTCGTGCTTTGGAGAGTAAAACACTGTGGTCTGGAGGGTAAAACACCGTGGTTCATGGTAACTGCCATTCCAGGTCCATTGGTCTGGATGATACAGCAAACATGAGTGATGTAGTGGTGGTGAGGTTCGGATGGTAGAGAGGCTGTAGTGCAGGTATGTGGGCTGCTCAAGCGGGGCAGAGCAACAAGGCTGATCTGTGGTGTAAATTTCAAGGGTTGGTAGGTGGAGTAGCAACTTGGAATGTCTAGCTTGCTGGCGTTGGAAAGATGCGTCTGCCTGTAATAAAAGTGTGTGGGTTACATGAAACTCTCATACATCAGTGCTCCCTTCAGTTCTGGGCTCAAGAGCAGGTGCAAATGAACAGTGAATATTTTAAAACTAGTCATCGTACATAAGCCCATGAATCTGCACATTCCGAGAGCAACCACCCTGAGGCTGTTAGCTCTAACGAAATGGAAAAATCGGAACCCTCGCTTGTGTGACATATTCGCAACCTAACCTGAAACTTTCAGGCACTGGAAAACGGAAAAACAAGGCACCGAACTGGGCTCAACTGGAGGGACGAGGTGGAATGCGGGAAAGGAAGAAGCTTGGGCGGGTGGACCAGGGTTTTGTTGGGAAAGCCATCCCTTTGCCATCATTACAGTCACACAGGGCCTGCTGTCTTGAGACTGAACGAGCCTCCTTTGGTTTTTGCCATCTTGTAGTGTCACGCCACCATGAGTCACACTTAGGGTTTGTCCGGCAGGTTCTTGTAGATCTTGCTGCGCGCCAGTCACACCCAAACTGAACCTTCGCTGGTTGTGGTGACGCCTGATATAGTCATATCGTCCACGTGGTGTTTCATGCACACAGGGACACTGCTCCTGATCGCGAACCAGAGTTAATCGCCTCCGTCATCTGCCTCTCCGTTGTCACGTCGTTGACAGTCACATCCGACGCTGCCGTAGAAAGATCTACCCGGCATACTGGGCAGGTGGTCCTGTCGGCGAGCCAGTGGTCGATGCAGCTGACGTGGAACCGATGCGCGCAGGGCAAAGTGCGAACCAAATCCCTTTCGATAAAGTCACTCAAGCAAACCGTGCACTCCTTCGCGACCAACGCTCCGGCGGGCCCCCGTTTTAAGCACTGCGACTCGTGGCACTCGCCAGCAAAGTCATGCGCAGCATCTCGCGCATCGTGCGGCGCATTTCGCGCGTGCGACACTCCATCCAGCAGCGAAAGTTCAGAGCCGCCCATCGCCACTCTATCGATGTAATTTTCAGCGAATTTTGGGGTAGATTCGTTCTTCCGCGCGGCAGATGATGGTCGCCGATTCGTACACGGGCAGGTTCGTTCTGCAACGACGCCCCGAAGCTTTTCGGCACCATCGGAGTGGTCGGCTGGTGGGAGGCGGCTTGCAGCGGGAGCAGCGCGATACGGTCTGACGGGGAACGACGCGAGCTGCGCCGGGTGCAGCCCCGAGGAGGTTGGGACCGGCACTGATATAATCACATCGGGTAGAGTGTCGTCTAACTCAGCAGACGAGCCGCGATCCGCGTAGCTTCCAGCGGCGCGACGGGGTCTGGTCCACTTGAGAAACGGCATCGCGGCGCGATATAAGTGGCCGAAACTTAATCAAAGCGCACGAAAACAAGTGCTTGCTGCAGGTCGTTTGTAGTTAGTGCGGCGCCGCCGAATGCTACTAGCACTAGTAGTGCTGGTACGAGCAGCATCACGGTGTTTGGTGAGTCGTGATGCTTGACAAGTAACTAGT